GCTAACCATTGAGACTGAGAACTGTAGCTCTGATGATGCTTGTCAATCATTTGATTGTATTTGCTGACACCCTTTTCTAGATTTTAGGCCATTATCTCATTGAGAAAGCAAGTGCACCAGAGATATTTAAATGAATTATTATTCAACTCCAAAGTTTCCTTGATTAAAAGAGATATACATGTGTTCAAAATTCAGTTTTAAGGAACACTTAAGCAACATACTTAAATCTGTGTCTGTCTATATGGTTCTTTTCATTGCTAGTATTTGAAGTACCCGCTGTCCTGAGACTGGGATTATTTCAGTCCTCTACTAGAGGGAGATTTTGATGTTTTGAATTCTTTCTACTTAGTTTTTATCAGAAAGATCAGGAATACTAAGTGAATTGGTAATCAAGTGATTCCAATAAAGTGAATCAAAGAGTCTTCATGTTTTTAGAGTCAATTTCTGGGTATTTGGAGTAGAAATTAAAAAGAGATTTTAAATGGGAAAATATTCCAGTTTGAAAGGATGGTTTATTATGGAAGAGAAAACAGGGAAATTGGGTTAATAAATTTTATATTTGATAAAGCAGAAAGGAAATGTCAATTAGCTATCATTTCACTATCTATGCATATCAAATTATCATGTTGTATATACCACAACTGCATATACATTTTATTAAGATAAAAATAATGAACAGCCTACTTTATATCCTCAGTGATAAACTTTTTAGAATAGAGTAATGAGTCATTTTTTCTAAGAACTAGGTACCATTGGTAAGCAGTACATCCCATGTGTCCCAGAAGAAACTTCTAGATGTTGTATCATAGCTTATTTCTACAAAACAAGAAGACCGTGACAAGTATGGGGTAAGACTGAAGAGAGCATTTCTGGTGCAAAGCCCCATCAAAATGATTGTCATGATTTTGGCCCTCCCTGGTGGCGCAGTGGGTTAAAGCACAGCACTGAGAAGCTTAAGCCACTTCCTCATGAGTTCAATCCCCGCCTGCCCTGGAGGAGAGCCACATGGCGTGGCAGACCTCTCCTGACCCACCCGCTGCTCCCCTCAGCAGTATACTTCGTTGATCGGCCTGTTCTGCTCCCCACTTTGTCTCTGGTGAATCCTCTCACCCTCCGCATCTCTGGCCTGTACCCCAGTTCTGTATGAATAAATAAATCTTTAAAAAAAAAAAATGATTGTCATGATTTTACCCACTACAGTTCATTAGAATTTTAAAAAGTTTTACTCTTAAATCTAAATCTCCAAAGGTCTCAAAAAGAAGGAATAAGTAATAAGAGTATGCCATATAGGGTCCTTCCTGGTGGTGCAGAGGGTTGGCACACTGCACTGCCAAGCTAAGCCAAGCCATGGCTGCTTTAGTGTTAGTTCGATCCCCCACCTGGGAGGTGATCCACATGGCACAGCAGACCTTTCTTGTCTCGCCAGCTGCTCCCCTCAGCAGTGTACTTTGTCATTTGCCTGTTCTGCTCCCCACTCTGTCTCTGGTGAATCCCCTCACCCTCCCCCCGCCCCTCTGGCCTTTACCCCATTTCTGTATGCATACCTAAATAAATCTTTTTAAAAATGTATGCCGTATAAAAGGCATTCCTAGCGAAGTGAGTCAACTGGGCCAACATTGCTTATCTTGTAAAGAAATACAGGGACTGATGTATTCAATAGGGTGTCTTCCTGCTACGAAGTGGTCTTAGCAGTGGTGGCAGTAGTGATAAGATTTGCAGCACAGGTGCTGGCTACACCTTCCTCTTTATTCAAGACTAAGGCAGTGCTTTCCCCACGCTTGGAAGAAAGGAGAGTTTGCTCAAGGGAGTTGCCTGGTTCTAGAGCACATCCTTCTCTAATGGCAGCCTCAATCTATATCATTGGCAACTCCACCCCTCCCTTCAAGTTAGGAATGTTCTGAAGAACATTCCATCTCCAGGGCTCCCTCTGGGATCCACTGAGGCCCTAGCTGGGACTGTATGAAAATTCACCTGCTCCATTTTGCCCCCGTCTCCCTCACAGGTGTACAGATGTTAAACTGAGGAACACTTCCTGCCCTTGACCCTCCATCTCCGAGTCAGCTTCCTTGAGAACCAGTTTGCATACTGTAAATATGTTCTTCTTGAAATAAAAGGAAAGCTTTAGAAAAGACCAAAATTACTAGTCTTCTATGATTGATAGAGCAATAAAGTAGGTTAAAAAGGTTAAAATGAGAAATAGATCTGAAGGCTAACCCTGGTGAAGAATGCCATTATTGAGAAATTTACATTTGTTTCACCCCTGTTCCAGGAAATATTCTAGAACATGCTGACTTATTGTGCATTGCTTACTTACACCTGAGGAGCAGACCAATTGGTGATAAGAGCTTTTAGAATAAACCAGTGTTAGGAAGGGGCTATAGAGATTCTTGTGAGACTGGCCAAGAGAAACAAACTTGCTTTCTCATTCCAGGTCTATAATCAGTTCTGCTGGAACCTGGGAGACCTATATCCTTTCTGGGAGCAGGAAGACTTGTCTCATGTTTGATTTAACTGTGTTCACATGCTTTACCATACGACAACTTTATAATCTCAAAACTGTATCTGGTCATCTTCTGTCAATATAAGGCCATCCAATTGCAATGAGTTGTGTTATTACCACCTCATGTCTGACCAAAGTTAATATTTGGGGTCACCTGGTTTTATACTGGTATCTCATACACACACACACACACATATTTATATACATACATATATATATGACATAGATATATAGATATAATACAAACATATATGATACAGATATATACCTGATACATATATATGTGTATGTGTATATATATATATATATATATATATGAAATATACACACACAGTCCACCAAGACTTGTCGATTCTACCTCCTAAATATCTCTGCATTCAGTTTTCCTTTCATTTCATGTATCATTTCTCTAGTTCAAGAATAATTATCACTCTTCTAAAGTAGAATAATGTTTTTTTAATCATCAAATTGTTTCTAGACTTGAGTTGGAATTTTAACTATATCTATTAAATTCTCTGATGTTCTTCATTCCTTTCTCTCCCTTTCTCCTTTTCCTCTCTAGGCCTTACTCAGGAGAGCTCATCTACATCTGTGGCTTTTGATTATGTTGATGTGATTGACATACAAAAAGATGCCGCAATATTCACCTGAGAGATTTCTCTGGAGGCCTAGCTTTTTATATCTATCTGCTAATTCTTCAAACACAATTTGTCAAAAATTAAATCGACTACTCTCTCCCACCCTCCGGATTTTCTTCCTCTCTTACCTATTTCAATGAATGATACCACCTTCTTTTTATGCAGCTGTCTAATGTGTACCTTACCAATTCCCTAAGTCTAGCCATCTCTTCTGAATTCTACCTTCAAAGACATCTCTTATCACCATTCCCTATCATCACTACTGTCAGATCAGTCCAAAAACTCACCTAGATTTTTTTAAACTAAACTTTTGCATCAGTCCCTTACCTGATTTTTTTGTTTTGTTTTGTTTCTGTGTTGTCTTCTGAAATCCATTTTCCAATAGACAGTGAATGTGATCTTTCTAGTTTGCAAATCCATCCAAAACCCTTCAATATCTTCCCATTGTTCTTATAATAAATACCCATGGTTTATAAAAACCCATTATAGTCTGGTCCCTGCTTGCATCTCAAACAATCTTTCTGCCCACATACTCCCACTCTCGCTCACAAATTCTGGTCATTGGAATTCCTTGGTTCCTTGAATGTACAATGCTGCTTCTTACTTCTGAGACATTCATGCCATGTTTCCTCTCCATGAAGACTCCTTCTGTCCCATCTTGCCTTGTTCTTTGATTTGAAACTGAGGCTGAATTGATCTCAGACTCAAAAGTATAAGGAAGAAGAAGAAAAAAAAGGTAGTCTAAACTTTTTTCCTAAGATCTGCTTTTACAGCAAAGATTGGATGCTTATAGACATGACTGAACTCACTTCCAAGGCCAGCTGGTAACTAAGATCACTGAGGAGGAAGAGTGGGAAGAGTGTATCAACAAAAGTTTAAAACCCCAGTTATCTTATGTCTCTTTATACTCATATATGAAAAGTATATACTGTTCTAGCCAATGAACATCAGTTAAGAACACATTTCTTTGCCCCAACCTTATAATTCCCTTTTCTCAGCCCTGGTCCCCAAATCTATAAAATCTATTTTTTCTCTTAATTGGAGAGGTAAGTTTCCTGCCTACTTACCAATTGATTCTCAAATAAAGCTGACTTCTCAAATGTCTGATCTATTATCTAATCTGTGGGGGTCAGGTCGAGATCCCATTGCTCTGCAAGAGCCTTATTAACATCTTCTAGAAACTGTCACGGAACAACAAATTCAGTTTAGATGTCTCCCTTCTTTGTTTGTTACCTTGATATTCTCTACTTCCCTTTTATCCTATATACCATGACAGTCTTCTTATCATATATACTTCTAGCAATTCATTTTGTTAGGGCTCCACCCTGAAGGCAAGAGTCGTATTCTTCTTGGTTATTCTTGTAGTCCCCAGATTGTAGATAGAATCTAGCACAAAACAGATGTTCAGAAGGACTCACACTTGATTAATGCGTTACTTAACACCTTGGTACAAGCAGTGCCTCTTCTGAGAATGTTTTCCTTTGCTGGGTAATCCCCAATTTTCATTTTGCTCACTGTGCAAACTCCTGTTCACTTTGAAGCCCCAGCATCATACCTTCCTGACTTCCTAAGGGCATCAAATGGCACAAATGCTGTTTCCTACAGTAACTTCCTCCCCATCATTATTTTTGTCATGTGTTTTACTTGCGAGTCTCTTTGCCTCTCAAATAATCTTTCTCCCCACATACTGTGATTGTCACTCTGAGTATCTGGGGCTTAGGAAGTGGAGATAAAAAGGATTTATTGTGAGTAGTTCCTTAGTACTTCATCATTTTAAGGCTCTGTACATGAAGAGCCAGTTCTAGGAAAATTTCAGAAAAGAATAAGTATTGACACAGATCTAGGGAGGAGTACATACGTACTTTTTGTTCTTCTCGCTCTACGGCTGCATGGCATTTTTCTATCCCCCAGTTTCTCAAAAAGTCTCTGAGATAGCCAAATAGGGTTCCAAGTCCATATCCCATATAAGTGAAAACCATAACGTGAAGAGGTGCTTCCTCAAAGGATTCAACGATTGGCTTATAAAAGTGTGGCTTCCCATTTTGCTGAAAAACAAAAGAAAATCAATTACATTACAATAAATTATGATACTTAAAATTTTGGACTTTCAACCTCTAAAATTACAAAAAAAATAAGATTCTAAAAGGTGCTTAGAGAAATTGATCATTGAAAAGGGTAATCAGAGAAAAGTACATTTTATATACACATTTTTCATATTAATATTTGTGAATTTATTTTTTAATAGAGGTAACAGTTGTTTACAACACTGTATATGATTCAGAAATAAAAGCTCCTACTTCAAGTGTGTGTATATACTTTAATACATATATATAATTTTTATTTTTCAGTTATGATCTCAATAAACTGGAAAAAATTTAAAAAAAGAAAAAACATGGAGGCAAGTACTTTAGAGACCCAACAAAATACAATGTATGTTTTTTCATTGACTCCTTTTATTTTTATTTGTGGCTAGCTTACAGTGCTGCACTCTAACCCCTTGCACCTCCAGGGGTTATTTATTTTTATTTGTAAATAAAAAGGTAGTGATAAAACTTGGACAATTGTAGAAAACCAAATGTTGACTAGAAAAATATTACTTATTAAAAATTACTGTTAATTTTGCTAGGATAGCAGTATTACATTGTGTGGGGAATGAATTCTTCTGAGACATTCATGCCATGTTTGCTGCCGAAAGCATTCAGAGATGAACTGTTATGATCACCTGAATTATCTTTCAAATGGTCTATCAAAAGTTAAGTATATTTATAAAGCAATATTGGGATAATATTAATAGCTACTTAATGTTGAGAAAGTTTACATGGATATTAATTATGTTACTTGTACACTTTTCTGTATGTTCCACATTTTTCATAATAAAAAGTCAAAGTGTTTTTTATTTTTGTATCAACATTCTAGTGGAAAATAGTAACAAACCATTATAAAATTAAATTATTTTAATTCCTGTCTAATTTGCATATTGCTGCTCAATCAATCTGGACTCAGTGGGTTAGTATGTAAATTATTTCTAGAGCTAAAATTTAATTAAATGTTAGTCTTAAAAAAATACTGGGCCCTCCCTGGTGGCGCAGCGGGCTAAAGCACAGCACTAAGAAGCTAAAGCCACTTCAGCATGAGTTCGATCCCTTCCCAGGAAGTGATCCCACGTGGTGTTGCAGACCTCTCCTGACCTGCTCGCTGCTCCCCTCAGCAGTGTACTTTGTTAGTCAGCCTGTTCTACTCCCTACTCTGTCTCTGGTGAATCCTCTCACCATCCCTGAACCTCTGGCCTGTACCCCAGCTCTGTATGCATAAACAAATCTATTTTTTTTAATTGATATATACTTACACATGTATATTTATAAAGGATTACTGGGATAATGTTAATATAGAATCATGTTCACTGGAAACACTGTTTTTATAACTCTTATAAATAACATTTTAAGCATCACTGATCCCACAAATGCTGTTTTCTAGAATGTATCACCTTCATTTTATATATGTTGTTGAGGGGGTGCAATATTTTTGGCATCTCTAAGTGCCTCAGTTACTGGCACTGTATGCATAAATAAATCAATTTTATCCAATGGCAATCAAAAAATATATCTGTAACATGAATAATTTTGATTTCTACATAATGTGCTTTAAAGCAATCTTTGAAAAGCCTTATATTGACATAGAACACTTGAATTCTTAAAACTCCACAAAATATTATTTAAAATCCTATTAAAATTCCTTGCCTTTTTATTTATCCATTAGATCAGGTTATTTCTCTAGATGCCCTAAACTAACAGTGATAGATGTTTCTCTTGTCTAATGTGTCATCCCCAAACACAGCCTGGTGGTTTAAAATCATAGAATGAGAGAGTATTGCTTAATATGAATTCTTCAGTGAAAGGTGAATGAAAGGTTATACAAATGCCTTGTATTAGGGAATACAGGACATTTGGGGTATCTATTATGAGGAAACTATGTGCTAGGTTTTGGGCATTCAAAGATGAACAAATAAGACCTGGTCCCTGCTCCATACTTCTTGACATCTTCTTCTAGAGAAACTATACAACAGTTCTCTAGGTCTGCTTGATGGATCATCACACTGTTTTAGTGACACCTAAATATGTGTTCCCTTCCTAGCCTTGCACTGTACTTAACCTTTTAACCTTGGACATCTGTCTCTAGCATTTCATGCAACTCAGTTAAGACCCATCTCTTGGTTACTTCCACATCATGGGAACACATAATTCCTTCCTTCCATGATTTGTCTATGTTCTTGTAAAAAGGACTGTGATCTATATAATGGAAGGTTTGATGAAATTTTGTGACTGATTAGGGACAAGTCAGGGGGAAAAAAAAAAAACAAAGAAAATTGCCTGGAAAGAACATTATGACAGTGTTGGTAAAAAAGAAATAGGATATTTAGAAGGAGAGCTGCTGTGGAGGGAAGACAATGAGTATTCATGGTGCATGCTGAGATGGGGGTGGTTATTGCTCACAAGTATGGTTGCAAGAAAAGAGAAAGACCTTGCCGGTGTATAGGATCTAAGACTCAACTAATATAAAATAGAGTTTAAGCCATGATTATCAGTAACTTTGAGAGCAAACTATTAAGGTTAGTGAGACTGAAGCAAAATTCTAGAACCCACTGCCTTTCAGAGCACTACAGGAGAAAGGAGGTTAGTGAAGGGGACACAATGTGTGAAACTTCTGAAAATTTGCTTAGCCTAATCATTGACTTAAGAGGATGACCTAATTCTATGGATGCATGCTAAGACATAAGGTTCCAGGGCATTTGAGGCCATTTATGAGGATCAAGTGGTTTTTCCTTTTTCCTCCTCTGACCCAATGTCCATTTCTGGGCTCCATAGGTGGCCAAACCAAGCAAAGCATTACCCCTGAAATCCATGGGAACTTTTTGCTTGAATTGGCTCTGAGGGAAATCTGAGCTGTACATAACAGACAGTCTAGCTAGATGCAAATAAAACTCTCAGCTGGGTGCATAAACTGGGCCTTTGTAACTATTTTGTTTCCCTTTGTGACTTATTCTGGAGGAAAGTTATAACACAAAGAAGTTTTCAACAATGTCCAGCAACCCCAACCAATATCTATTTTACTTTCATTCACATGCTTTTATTTATCTTTATTTTAATGAAAAAATTTTACAGTGTTATTTGGCAAAGAGAAAATGAGATAATTTCATGGAGAATACAGTTATCTGGAAATGTATAGATATTTTTTAGTGGATAGAAAGTGACTCATTTATTATAATTCTTTATTTAAAGTTGAAGTCAAGGAAAATATCTGACAAGGGACTAACATCCAAGATCTATAATAAATCATGCAACATGACTATATATATATATATAAACCCAATCAGAAATGGGCAGAAGAGCTAACCAGGTGCTCTTCCAAAGAAGACATTCAGATGGCCAACAGGCACAGGATAAAATGTTCATCACTTATCATCAGGGAAATGCAAATAAAAAACACAGTGAGATGCCACCTCACTCCTCTGAGAATGACAAAAAGTCTAGAAACAAGAATTGGTGTCGGTGTGAAGAAAAAGGAACCCTTGAACACTGTTCAGAATCCAGCCTTAGAGAAAACAGTATGGGGTATTCTCAAATGTTAACAATAGCTCTACATATGACCCAGCACGTCCACTCTTAGGTATCTACTTAAAGAATGCAAAAACATTTATTTGAAGGGATATATGCACTCTCATGTTTATTACAGCACTATACACAATAGTCAAGTTATGGTTACAATGCCCAAAGTTAGAGGAGGGATTAAAAAGACATGGTATAGCCTCACAATGGAATGCTACTCAGCTATTAAAAAAAAAAAAAAAAAAAGATGAAATCTTGTCATTTGTGACAACATGAATGAGATTGAAGGGAAATTATGCTAAATGAGTAAATGAGAAGGAGAAAAGCAAAACCAGACATTTTCACTCATGTGGAATAGAAAGAAACAAAGCAAAGGAATGAAAAAACTAAAGCAAAATAAACCCTGAAAATCTGATTATACAACTGAGGCTGCCAGACCAGAAAGGAGAAGTAGGGAGTAAAGAGGGTAAGAGAGTCATGGTGGAGGATTATGAGTGCTTTAGTGATGGGTGTGGTGTGGTAACATACATCAGAAGAGGTAGAAACCTACATGCCTAGTGTTGTAAATCAATGTTACCTCAATAAAATTGATACAATTAAGAAACAAAAATGAACTCTGAACTCACGCCTTTTGGGAAAGATTTCTCAATCTTGGATTGGATAGTTATTCTGAATATGAGATTTGACATCTCAAAGTTAATAAGCATAAAATCTTGCTTGATGAGTTTTCTGGCCAAGATGACACAGCATGGTAACCTGCAATACACTTTCTTTTGTTTCCTGTTCATCAAATATTTCTTGAGTACCTACTCTAAGCCAGTTAATGCACTTGAAATATGCTATTAACCAGACAAAGCAGCTTCTTGACCCAAGAAACTTACAACCTGGTGTTAATCAAATATCAACAAAATAGCACCACAAATAACTCATCATAGACTATGATAAATGCTTTTTATCGTAAAGAAATGTTGAAAAGTTATGGAAAGCTGTAGTTGAATTTCACCTGGGTGTTTGCTATACTTTCAGAGTATCAAAAATATATAGTAAAGACATTTGAGTTAAGTAATGAATGCTAAGTAGGAGTTATCTAGCAAAACAGTAAGGATAGGGGGAAATGATGAGGCCCTATTTAGAGGCAGAGGAACAGTATGTGCTAAGCCCTAGGATAGGAGAGGGTCCAGAGCAGCTGAAGGCAACTGAAGACCTGAAAAAAAAAAAAAAGAGTGATTGACAGAGACCAAATAAGAGTGTGAATGGAGACCGGGTGGGCTTGATACATTATCATTTACCTTATCTTGAAATGGGAAGCCACTGGAGGTTCCTAAAGTAAGGGACGGCAAGGAGAGAAGTATATACAAGCATGAAAACCCATGCAGGTTAGGAATTGGTACAGCAGAAACTCAGTGTGGACTCTGAATCAAAGTGTCCATCTTACAGCCTAT